AACATCCAACATCTGTATAAAAGTCAAAAACCAACATTTAGCTGTTAGCTAGGCAAGTTGCTGTATGATATTTGTGGTTGGAATTGCAGTATGTATTTAATTTGAGAATTTAGATGTGCGCTAACAACTTCTGACAGACTGGTTTTCCTCTGGACAACTAAAATCAGTTGCTTAACAACCAAACTCCAACGGATCTGTGGAGACCAAAGAGTACCAATATTTGCATAACCTTTGTGATTGGAGGATAGCTATGAGGGTTATCTAATCAGGATCAAATCCTCTGATCTCCTCAAGCTCATTAATGATAGAATGTTCATATTTGAAGATTTAAGAAAGGCCAGTCTCTTTGGCAAATGACAGGACTGTCAAGAAGTGGAATGCTAGCTAAAAAGACTGGTACCCAGACTATGATTCACCCGATATTGTGTATCAATCTCTACGGCCCTTTAGATCACAGAGAGAGAGCTGAAGCCAGGCGGGGCAGGTATTCCAGTGTCAGAGAAGAATAAGAAGGAGTACATCGAGGGCATGGTTAAGTGGCGCATCGAAAGGGGTGTTGCTCAGCAGACGGAGAGCCTTGTGCGAGGCTTCTATGAGGTAGGGCCCTGTGTTTTGCGCAATCATGTGACATACAGTCGTGGTCAAAAATTTTGAGAATGACACAAGTATTGGTCTTCACAAAGTTTGCTGCTTTTTGTCAGATGTTACTATGGTATACTGAAGTATAATTACAAGCATTCCATAAGTGTCAAATGCTTTTATTGACAATTACATTAAGTTTATGCAAAGAGTCAATATTTGCAGTGTTGACCCTTCTTTTTCAAGACCTCTGCAATCCGCCCTGGCATGCTGTCAATTAACTTCTGGGCCACATCCTGACTGATGGCAGCTAATTCTTGCATAATCAATGCTTGGAGTTTGTCAGAATTGGTGGATTTTTGTTTGTCCACCCGCCTCTTGAGGATCGACCACAAGTTCTCAATGGGATTAAGGTCTGGGGAGTTTCCTGGCTATGGACCCAAAATGTCGATGTTTTGTTCCCAGAGCCACTTAGTTATCACTTTTGCCTTATGGCAAGGTGCTCCATCATGCTGGAAAAGGCATTGTTCGTCACCAAACTGTTCTTGGATGGTTGGGAGAAGTTGCTCTCGGAGGATGTGTTGGTACCATTCTTTATTCATGGCTGTGTTCTTAGGCAAAATTGTGAGTGAGCCCACTCCCTTGGCTGAGAAGCAACCCCACACATGAATGATCTCAGCATGCTTTACTGTTGGCATGACACAGGACTGATGGTAGCGCTCACCTTGTCTTCTCCGGACAAGCTTTTTTCCGGATGCCCCAAACAATCGGAAAGGGGATTCATCAGAGAAAATGACTTTTCCCAGTCCTCAGCAGTCCAATCCCTGTACCTTTTGCAGAATATCAGTCTGTCCCTGATGTTTTTCCTGGAGAGAAGTGGCTTCCTCGCTGCCCTTCTTGACACCAGGCCATCCTCTAAAATCTTCGCCTCACTGTGCGGCAGATGCACTCACACCTGCCTGCTGCCATTCCTGAGCAAGCTCTGCGCTGGTGGTGCCCTGATCCCACAGCTGAATCAACTTTAGGAGACGATCCTGGCGCTTGCTGGACTTTCTTGGGCGCCCTGAAGCCTTCTTCACAACAATTGAACCTCTCTCCTTGAAGTTATTGATGATCCGATAAATGGTTGATTTAGGTGCAATCTTACTAGCAGCAATATCCTTGCCTGTGAAGCCCTTTTTGTGCAAAGCAATGATGACTGCACCTGTTTCCTTGCAGGTAACCATGGTTAACAGAGGAAGAACAATGATTTCAAGCACCACCCTCCTTTTAAAGCTTCCAGTCTGTTATTCTAACTCAATCAGCATGACAGAGTGATCTCCAGCCTTGTCCTCGTCAACACTCTCACCTGTGTTAACGAGAGAATCACCTGACATGATGTCAGCTGGTCCTTTTGTGGCAGGGCTGAAATGCAGTGGAAATGTTTTTTTTGGGATTAAGTGCATTTTCATGGCAAAGAGGGACTGCAATTAAATTCAATTCATCTGATCACTCTTCATAACATTCTGGAGTATATGCAAATTGCCATCATAAAAACTGAGGCAGCAGACTTTGTGAAAATTAATATTTGTGTCATTCTCAAAACTTTTGACCACCAGTGAGCTCCAAAAAGTATTGGGACAGTGACACATGTTTTGTTGTTTTAGCTCTGTACTCCAGCACTTTGGATTTGAAATGATGCAATGACTATGAAGTTCAAGTGGTGAATGTCACAGACGCACAAATATACCCCCAAGACATGCTAAACTCTCACCATTACAGTAACAGGGGATGTTAGAATTTCTTGGGAGGTATGATACAGTATTTCTGCATCTAACTTTCTCACTCATTATCCAGAATTTATTCAGGATTATCTGTAATCATACCCCCAAGACATGCTAACCTCTCACAATTACAATAACAAGATTCAGTCAGAATTATCAGTAATCATGGTAGCATCCACATTCATTTAGAAGTGTTTAGAAACATATACTATTCTTATTTACAATAAAAGTGAATCTAAAATGACACAATAAATTGTTTACCATTCATTTCTAATAATCTGAAACACAACCAAAACAAACAGCAAATGCATCCAACAAATTTGTAGAGTCACAAGCTTGATTGTGGACTATGAAATGGGACCAAATACTTAACTTTTGGCTACTTTTAATACACATATAAGTGAATTTTGTCACAATACTTTTGGTCCCCTAAAATGGGGGGACTATGTACAAAAAGTGCCGTTCTTTCTAAACGGTTCATCCGATATGGATAAAAATACACTCAAATTAAAGCTGACAGTTTTACATCAACCTCATAGTCATTGTATCATTTCAAATCCAAAGTGCTGGAGACAGAGCCAAAACAACAAAAAATGTGTCACTGTCCCAATACTTTAGGAGCTCACTATAGTATGATTTTATCCTGTATTTTAAGCCTTATCCTGAAATTAGTTGCACCAAAAATGAAAGCAATTGTCAGAGGATGGTGCTGGACCATCTGAAATATAAAGATAAGGGGACAGTTTGATGAAAAAGCTTTAAATAAAGGTTCAAATCTAGGTCATGTGACATGATTGTACAAAACACAGGGCCCTATCACATCACACACATCATCAATAATGGTCCATCATTGTGATATGTATTGGTCAAGTGATATTGTATCTGCAATAGATAATATTGCACAGTTACATTGTGGTAATGTACAGTATGTGTATTGTGTAATAGATAACGATGCAGCAGGTGGTAATGTATCTTAAATACAGTGTGGGAAAAAAGTATTTGATCCCCTGCTGATTTTGTATGTTTGCCCACTGACAAAGAAATTATCAATCTATCATTTTAATGGTAGGTTTATTTGAACAGTGAGAGACAGAATCACAACAACAAAAATCCAGAAAAACGCATGTCAAAAATGTTATAAATTGATTTGCATTTTAATGAGGGAAATAAGTATTTGACCCATGGGGGAGCACTCTTAAAGGGAGTGCTCCTAATCTCAGCTTGTTACCTGTATAAAAGACACCTGTCCACAGAAGCAATCAATCAATCAGATTCCAAACTCTCCACCATGGCCAAGACCAAAGAGCTCTCCAAGGATGTCAGGGACAAGATTGTAGACCTACACAAGGCTGGAATGGGCTAAAAGACCATCGCCAAGCAGCTTGGTGAGAAGGTGACAACAGTTGGTGCGATTATTCGCAAATGGAAGAAACACAAAATAACTGTAAATCTCCCTCGGCCTGGGGCGCCATGCAAGATCTCACCACGTGGAGTTGCAATGATCATGAGAACGGTGAGGAATCAGCCCAGAACTACACGGGAGGATCTTGTCAATGATTTCAAGGCAGCTGGGACCATAGTCACCAAGAAAACAATTCGTAACACACTACGCCGTGAAGGACTGAAATCCTGCAGCGGCCGCAAGGTCCCCCTGCTCAAGAAAGCACATATACAGGCCCGTCTGAAGTTTGCCAATGAACATCTGAATGATTCAGAGGAGAACTGGGTGAAAGTGTTGTGGTCAGATGAGACCAAAATCGAGCTCTTTGGCATCAACTCAACTCGCCGTGTTTGGAGGAGGAGGAATGCTGCCTATGACCCCAAGAACACCATCCCCACCATCAAACATGGAGGTGGAAACATTATGCTTTGGGGGTGTTTTTCTGGTAAGGGGACAGGACAACTTCACTGCATCAAAGGGACGAGGGACGGGGCCATGTACCGTCAAATCTTGGGTGAGAACCTCCTTCCCTCAGCCAGGGCATTGAAAATGGGTCGTGGATGGGTATTCCAGCAAACAATTACGGAAAACACACGGCCAAGGCAACAAAGGAGTGGCTCAAGAAGAAGCACATTAAGGTCCTAGAGTGGCCTAGCCAATCTCCAGACCTTAATCCCATAGAAAATCTGTGGAGGGAGCTGAAGGTTTGAGTTGCCAAATGTCAGCCTCGAAACCTTAATGACTTGGAGAAGATCTGCAAAGAGGAGTGGGACAAAATCCCTCCTGAGATGTGTGCAAACCTGGTGGCCAACTACAAGAAATGTCTGACCTCTGTGATTGCCAACAAGGGTTTTGCCACCAAGTTCTAAGTCATGTTTTGCAGAGGGGTCAAATACTTATTTCCCTCATTAAAATGCAAATCAATTTATAATATTTCTGACATGCATTTTTCTGGATTTTTGTTGTTGTTATTCTGTCTCTCACTGTTCAAATAAACCTACCATTAAAATTATAGACTGATCATGTCTTTGTCAGTGGGCAAACGTACAAAATCAGCAGGGGATCAAATACTTAATTCCCTCACTGTAGATATAATGAAATAGATAATCATGCAGGCCATTAACATTCCATGTGGTTACTCTGAATTAATTAGGGGTGTATCAGTATTGCAATATGTATTGGCCAGGTGGCAATGTCTCTGTGATAGATAATACATTAGTATTGTGACATGCATTGGTTAGGTGGTGGACGTGCGGCTGGTATCGGTGTTTGATGCCCGGGAGCTGGAGCTGGTGATCGCTGGCACTGCAGAGATCGACCTGGCAGACTGGAGGAACAACACCGAGTACAGAGGAGGTAGAGACAGGGGAGCTGTGGTGGGCCTGGGAGGGTCAGATGTTGTGGGGGCAAGCTTTTTCTAATTCTGCTAATCTTAGTCTTCAAAGATTAGATCATGACTTTGATTAGTGGAATCAGGTGTTACTGCTTGGCCCCAAACAACCCACCCAGTTTACAAACAAGTGCAGGGGCAACACTTTTGACTGGACATGAACGTTACAGATTGTACTTTTTAAGAACAGGAGGCTTCCATCTTTCTCCCAAGGGTATCATGACAGCCACATAGTCATCCGCTGGTTCTGGGCGGCAGTGGAGAGGTTCAACAATGAGCAGAGACTGAGACTGCTGCAGGTACTACTTTTCAGGGGAAACTCCAACAGATTTTGATACTTACGAAAGGCTGAGCTCCCCAGTCTTAACTTACAATAACTCTTTATTTTACAGCCCTGTTACCACTGGTATTTATCTGGTATTGAATGTGAATTTACTTGCTTAAAATTGGTACTTCCTGTTACAATTAATCTCCTAGTGACCCAGAAGTAATTTCTGAGAAAAATGGATGTAATTGCCCTTTTTTACATGTATTTTCTAGGTAAATACCTGGTTATTAGGTCCTGTAAAAAAAAGAAGTGTTACCTAAATTGGATTGTTAACATTGTGTATTTCTCCCTAGTTTGTGACAGGAACATCCAGTATTCCCTATGAGGGCTTTGCCTCCCTCAGAGGTAGCAATGGACCACGCAGGTTCTGTGTGGAGAAGTGGGGCAAAATCACCTCCTTACCCAGGTACAGTACACCTGTCTGTCTGTCCATATTTGCCTACCTGTTTGTGTGAGCTATTCTACATTTTCCGCTTCTGTCGCCATTTTCTTGTGTGTACTGTGTGTGTGTGTGTGTGTGTGTGTATGTGATGTGTGTGCACATCAGTGGATGCTCCTCAGAGGAGGAAGGGCAGGACCATCCTCCTCAGTGAATTTAATAAAAGTTTTAATAGTGAAACATAAAAAAATTAAACTATCATTTTTAGATACAACTATACTAAATATATTCACGTCACCAAATAATTGATTAAAACACACTGTTTTGCAATGAAGGTCTACAGTAGCCTCAACAGCACTCTATAGGGAAGCACCATGAAGTAGCTGGAGGACAGCTCGTTTCCGTCCTCCTCTGACTTGACTTCAATACAAAACCTAGGAGGCTCATGGTTCTCACCGCCTTCCGTAGACTTACACAATAATTATGACAACTTCCAGAGGACGACCTCCAACCTATCAGAGCTCTTGCAGCATGAACTGCAATTTTGTCCACCCAATCAAGGGATTAGAGAATTAATCTAATACTGAAAGCATAAGCTACCGCTAGCTAGCACTGCAGTGCATAAAATGTGGTGAGTAGTTGACTCAAAGAGAGAGAAAGACAATATAGTTGAACAGTTTTGAACAAATAAATGTCTTCTATTTTTTCACTTTCACTTACTTAGCTAGCTAGTTTAGCCTACTCAAACAGCTGGCTAAAAACAGAGGGATGCTACAGTATGTTAGCTAGCTGGCTATTGCTATCCAACACTGGAACGCTTTCGGTTTTATTAATTTATTGCCACCGGGCGTGCCGGTGTAACTGCTAAAGTGCTTGCTGACTGTACACTGTACTGCATGATTGTAGCGGGTTTACTAATGCGTTTAGTTCTATTAGCTATGTTGACAATTACGTGAGATGGTGACAATGATGTAGGTTGTGTGTCGCTTTTATAATATGAATGTTTGGCTTGGAAAGCTTTTTTCGCCTGGTCACAGATAGCTGATGTGTTGTGCACTGAAGTCCACAAGCGAAGTGAAAAGGTGAGAGAGGAGAGCGCGTAGATGCGAGAATGAATTACAACCAGCAAAGTGATCATGCTGTTTGTATGTGGCTGCTATGAAAGTGAACTGTGTTTGTGTGTGATTAGGGGTATATTCATTCCGCCGATTCTGTTGAAAAAAGTATCTTGAATGGAAGCAAAGGGAACGAAACGGGGATAAACATACCTGAATTTGTCCAATAGAAACTCTCATTTGCAACCGTTGGACTAATGATTACACCCTAGATCTGCTAGATTCAGGCAAGAGTGTGCAAAGTGGTATTGAATGTGTCACTGTCTGTCCACTTGATTATTAAAAATTATCTCGACCTGTGCACCTAAGGAACTTTATTTTATAGGTTGTAGCAACCTAGGTATAGGGAAATTCAAGTATCATGTAGTAGCCTAAATCTATCGATGTTACATTGAGTTGGGTGAATGGAATATGAATGACAGTCATCCAATATGCTATAATAGAAATAAGGCCATGCTCCTAAAAAAATAAACGGCATCCTCCATTTTAAACGGCACCGACCGCCACTGTTGCACATATAAAGTAGAATGTGTGTGTATATTAAGCACATAGTACACGCATGGGTGTACTCCTCTCACTATCGGTCTGTCTCTCTACAGGGCTCACACATGCTTTAACCGTCTGGACCTCCCGCCGTACCCATCGTTCTCCATGCTCTACGAGAAAATGCTGACGGCCGTGGAGGAAACCAGCACCTTTGGCCTGGAGTAACCTCTCCAAAATGTCAGCCGCAGCCAGGGGTTGAATTGGGAAAAAACTATGGTAGAGAGGAAATCCCACCACCACCTTAGCTTGAGGCGAGACAGTACTCACAGTACACAATGGAAACTGAATAGACATCTACAATAAATTATCATTGAAACAAACTTTTGGGGACAATTCCACCACCAAGACAATCCCAATTTGACCCCCCTGGCTTTGCTATACCTCCCTGCTCCATGATCCCATACTTCCTGGAATAACGTTACTGTTCTTTTACCTGCACTGATGCCCTCCGTTCGATTCCTGCGTACAACAACCACAATTGTGCTTTATCTCTTATCAGTTTAATGGCCTTGGTTACTGTATCTCCAGTCCTTCTTATTCCTCCAGGGGTTCAGCCTGCACTTCAAGCCCAGATAAACCTTATCCTAATCCCATATGCTTCCTCCTGGAGTGACCTTGTGCTCTGGACCTCAGAACTGTGTCAATTTCTACTCTGGGGCTGCAGACTTTGCACACTATAATACATTATGGACTAATGCCTTGGCTTCTAGCATACACACACACACATGCACTCACACACGCACACAATTTCAAGATGACTCTCATGAGTAAGACTGTTATAATTTTTGAGGGGATGAAATTGTATGTCAGAGCTCCTAAGGGGCACCAAAGGCATTGTCACACTCCAAAACACACTGTACTTATCTTCTTATGTTAGACTACATGAGCAAGGCTTTAAAACTGACACACACTGATTTACGGATACAAATACAATTGTAGGGTAACTCTTTTTCCAAATAGATGAGATGCACTTTCTCATAGACGCATGTAGCTCCACACGCATGTACACACACACACACGCTGAGAAATTGCCAAACAAAAGGCTTTATTTCTCACTGATGTAATTTTTATCCCATTCAGTGAACTGATGAATGTATCACATAAAAGAGTGAATGTATGAACCTCCAGCTTACTGTAGTAGGAGGACTGAGGAGCCTTCAAAGAAGAAGAAGAAACATCGGAGCCGAACGAGGAAGTGTAGCTCATACTATTTGACTGTGGTTGATTGAGGAATATGGAAGCCGAGACTCAAAGTGGCATCGGACACGTGCCTTGACATGAGAGACACTTTCACTCATTGTTTTGCGAAGGGTTGCGTCCATTTCCTATTGGATCACAACTGAAAACTGAGTTGTAACGAGAGACTTTGTATTGTTTATTTGGTTAGTCAAAATGACATTCAAAAGGCTTTAGGTGTGTCACACACAAAAAAAATACAGAGCCACAACTCTTAAAGCTAGAATCCTTAGTTGCGACCTTTATCCATTTTTAGACCTATAAATTAATGATATATACCCATTGATTCTTGAAGAATATAACTTATAAATGCATCATGAACTTAGTTCAACTATTGTACCCCATCAGAACTTAAAATATAAACTTGTTTTACTCCAATGTTTGTAAACAATGTAAATGTAAACAAACTGTATAGCCTCAAAACTGGATGTTCAGTCCTTGCATCCATAGCTCTGTCTATGATTTGAGAGGGGTTACATTTCTCCAGGCCCATCCCTCAGCTTTTTACAAAAACAGAGGCGGGGTGCCCTTTGTTATTCTTTCAAGTAAGGATTCTAGCTTTAAGTGTATTCCAAAACAGTTACAGGATGCAAACACAAGAGGGCAGCACATGATATATGGGTACTTACTTCAGTACCGTTGACACAGCAATAGAAGCATCTTTAAGCTCGGGGCATACACTACACACCAACAGAGATGCTTACGATTTCTTGAAAGCATGTGTTCATCCTGGTTTTGGACTTCTCAGTGCATAACCCCTACCCAAAGGATTTATTTAGACACACACACACACACACACAAGTGTACACAGACACGTATACACATGTTTTCTATGGGGTGCACACACTACTGTACAGAGGTCTATGTGAGCTAGACAGACAACCCGGGCTGGAGTAGAGAGTAATAGAAGCCCCACTGTGATGCTCTGTGGAGGCAGCCTTCATATCTCAGCCTGGCTCGATACTGCATGCAGGGTCCATCTCAGCAACTCTGTGAGCTGCACTGAGTCCGGAACCCCTAGATGGTGTTGTGTTATAGCTCGATATTTGCATGCCAAAATAGTGCAACACAAGTTTGTCCTTATTAGCTTTTGCATGAGGATATCACTATCGATGTGGAGAAAAGGGCGGGAGGAGCCGGATAGTACTTTAGGGTATGTTGCTATAATGTGTTCGTTGCACTGTTATAAATACGTCCAAAGACGTGACGAGGGATACATCAAATAAATCTCTACGTTTTGTGCCCCATTGTGCATGGGTTCAGTAACTATGAAATGTTATAACATGCATTATGTTGTTTATATGACAGGTTATGACGAGTGTTACTGAAGTACTATGCCAGCACGCTTTAAGGGGATTTGGATTTGTTTAGTTACATTCAAGTGTTCACTTGTCGTGATGATATGTCAGAGGTTAGAGGTTAAAGGTCATGGTTCATGGCTACATGGAGAACCAATATGGCTGTAATGAATGACGACGAGGAAGTGAGAGCACCTGTATACAGTGGGGAGAACAAGTATTTGATACACTGACGATTTTGCAGGTTTTCCTACTTACAAAGCATTTAGAGGTCTGTCATTTTTATCATATGTACACTTCAACTGTGAGAGACGGAATCTAAAACAAAAATCCAGAAAATCACATTTGTATGATTTTTAAGTAATTCATTTGCATTTTATTGCATGACATAAGTATTTGATCACCTACCAACCAGTAAGAATTCCGGCTCTCACAGACCTGTTAGTTTTTTTTTAAGAAGCCCTCCTGTTCTCCACTCATTACCTGTATTAACTGCACCTGTTTGAACTCGTTACCTGTATAAAAGACACCTGTCCACACACTCAATCAAACAGACTCCAACCTCTCCACAATGGCCAAGACCAGAGAGCTGTGTACGGACATCAGGGATACAATTGTAGACCTGCACAAGGCTGGGATGGGCTACAGGACAATAGGCAAGCAGCTTGGTGAGAAGGCAATAACTGTTGGCGCAATTATTAGAAAATGGAAGAAGTTCAAGATGACGGTCAATCACCCTCGGTCTGGGGCTCCATGCAAGATCTCACCTCGTGGGGCATTAATGATCATGAGGAAGGTGAGGGATCAGCCCAGAACTACACGGCAGGACCTGGTCAATGACCTGAAGAGAGCTGGGACCACAGTCTCAAAGAAAACCATTAGTAACACACTACGCCGTCATGGATTAAAATCCTGCAGCGCACGCAAGGTCCCCCTGCTCAAGCCAGCGCATGTCCAGGTCCGTCTGAAGTTTGCCAATGACCATCTGGATGATCCAGAGGAGGAATGGGAGAAGGTCATGTGGTCTGATAAGACAAAAATATAGCTTTTTTGTCTAAACTCCACTGACCGTGTTTGGAGGAAGAAGAAGGATGAGTACAACCCCAAGAACACCATCCCAACCGTGAAGCATGGAGGTGGAAACATCATTCTTTGGGGATGCTTTTCTGCAAAGGGGACAGGACGACTGCACCGTATTGAGGGGAGGATGGATGGGGCCATGTATCGCGAGATCTTGGCCAACAACCTCCTTCCCTCAGTAAGAGCATTGAAGATGGGTCGTTGCTGGGTCTTCCAGCATGACAACGACCCGAAACGCACAGCCAGGGAAACTAAGGAGTGGCTCCATAAGAAGCATCTCAAGGTCCTGGAGTGGCCTAGCCAGTCTCCAGACCTGAACCCAAAGAAAATCTTTGGAGGGAGCTGAAAGTCCGTATTGCCCAGCGACAGCCCCGAAACCTGAAGGATCTGGAGAAGGTCTGTATGGAGGAGTGGGCCAAAATCCCTGCTGCAGTGTGTGCAAACCTGGTCAAGACCTACAGGAAATGTATGATCTCTGTAATTGCAAACAAAGGTTTCTGTACCAAATATTAAGTTCTGCTTTTCTGATGTATCAAATACTTATGTCATGCAATAAAATGCAAATTAATTACTTAAAAATCATACAATGTGATTTTCTGGATTTTCGGCAGTCTATCAAATACTTGTTCTCCCCACTGTATGTACCATGCGTGCTCTTTTCTTTGTATATACTTGTACATGTACTGTATGTCTGTCCCTGTTGTGTGTATACATATATATTTTGCACTGAATGTACCAAAAGTTTGGGGCTCGCATAGTCAACCATGTCTCCCTATTTCTGTTTAACGGAATGACCCCAGCCTCGAACGTCCACACATCCCCACATCACCTCGAGTTTAGAGGGGCAGCTTCGTGGCATGGGCAGTAACCTTTCACAATGGGGTTCAAATAATTTCTGCCAATCAAGACATTTTCCACACTAAGGCTTTTTATTCTGCTGCAAATGTCCAATAAGAATAAAGTCAGTTTGCTTCTCGCCCAATGAGGACAAAGCTCACCGCCACCACCACTCCCCTTGCCTGATCAATTACCATTTTGTAATTGTAATTTGTGATTGGACATCCCAGTGTCAGAACTCCACTCTATGCAAAAGCTCCTGTATTATTCATTTTCACCCCAATGATTGTATTAAAAGACAATGACACATGGCAAGTTTTAATTAGCAATACATGAATGTGTGTTTTCTTTCAATGTGTTTTATTTTTGTAAGTGAAGCAGGGACTCAGCCAGTGGGGCACAACACTTAGAGAGCAGCATATAGAGATGTACAGCATACCATGGACATGGTTTTTTATTCTATGAGATGAAAAATATATCTCCTTCTATCCTAGACATTTCTTTCACACGCACATCTTATTTTAACTCTGCATTCCATAACAAACTAAGTATATTGGAAAATATGAAAATGCCGAGGCCCAGCGAAACAATTATCTTTTTGGACAATACATGTGAGAATGACCCTGTCATAGGGAGATAGTTTTTCTGGGATCAGATAACACAAAAATTGCCCCCAGACGGCATCAGAGGCCACAGGTTCACGTCGAATGATCTGTTTGAGAAGCCCCTCATCATAAGTATGGGTAACTAAGGGTAACTTAGGGTAACTGCATATGTGGAGTGTGTCTGAAAGTGGGCGTGTCAACAGAAGTGGGAGGAACAGCAGTGATAGGAGTTACACCAGAGCTCTGTAATTGGTTAGACGGTTTTGATTGAGTGTGTTGTTTTTAGTTTCTTAACAC